CGATATAACCCTCGAAATTGTCTGGCTATTAAGGAAACATTATTTAATAGTTGTCCAAATAATATATGTATAAAATTTAGCTATTATAATATAACGTAAGTATAGTTACAAATTATAATAGTTCAGGGGTGTCTGGCAGAGGGTTGTAACCATATCAAGTGTCTGGCAATGAGCAACGCGAGTTTTAATATTATTACGAATAAAATATAAAAAAATTGAGTTTTATAAATTAATAAATTTGAGGTGGAATTTTATGCACCTTTGCTACCTGTTACCTGCCAAAGCCACCACTACTCAGGTTTCATGGGCGGCGATCATTCTTACCTGTATTGGGGACATACACAGAAGAACTCTCAGCTTTTATAAAATTCCGAAGGTCTGGCTCTCACGGGCTCTTGCTCTAATTATTTATATTCCATAAATACATGCGATTGTTCGGTTCCGCCGGTAACAATTTAAAATTACTTATTCTGTGAAACGACACTGGCAGGTAAACATTACTGCAAAATTCTCGAATCAGTCCGACGTGGTTTGACATTTACCCCCTCTCTACCTACCAAAGGCCTTTCCAACTTCTACTTGTGCTATAGCCACTCTGTTTTAGAGATGGTTTTCATAGGTATTTGTCTCGCTTCGTTCCAGCTACAAAATTATCGATTTATACGATAATTTCACAATTGTTTTTCGGACGAATTTCATTTTAAAGTGGGTGAAATGCAGGAAAGGGAATGAACTTTATTGTATTCCGATGTAATTTGAATCCGAATGACCTGGCATCACTGTATGGTACGCACATAATAATATTTGCGGACTTGCTTTATTCTTCTGAATATCTTTATAAGGAACCGTATTTCTGAGTTAACACGTTGACTGCTATGTGTATGTTCCATTAGTGCGTAATTTTTCAATATTTTAATTTGTGTTAAAGACACGCAAGCAAGTTTCAAAGAAAAGTTATATGGATTTGAAAAATACGTATTTTAAAAATATTTTTTAAAAGATCATGTTATTTTATTTCAATTTTAATACTGTATTCAACCCTAGAATGTTTTAAAAAAATATTACAGGTTTGCCAAGAAATTACATTTTTATGAAATTAGAGAATGATGCAGACTCCAAATTAAATTATCATAATTTAGGTAGGTTTACATTGATCTCAAAATTGTTTAATATACAGACTTATAGCTCATTAAGATAACAAATAGTGGTGATAGTGCTGGATTCTTTTAAACCGAGTGTTTTGAAACATGGCTACTTTTAAGTTCAATTTACTCAATTTTTTCAAAGGCAACACCCGGTATATTTTAGCATACAATTCCTTATAAATTTGCCTATCCAACATGTTAGAAAATAACACATATACAGGGTATCCCATCAGTGCGTAATTAATCGATAGCTGTTTTATTATTGGAAATACGAAGCACGTCGTCAAATATTTTAATTGACTTCATTCATTTTCTAGGTTATATATAGAGTATGTCAAAACGCGAGGTTACGATTTTTTTTTTTTCTATAATAAAACTGCTATCGATCAATTATTACGCACTCATGGGACACCCGATATATGTGTTATTGGCTAACATGTTATTATCGTTGGATAGGTAAATTTATAAGAAATTGTATGCATAAAACAATATGAAAAATTTAGTAAATTTAACATGAAATTAGCCATATTTAAGACTTGTTTCAAAACACTCTGTATAAAATAATCCAGTTCTATCACCACTATTCGTTAGCTTAGTATCTTATGTCTGTATTTTGAACAATTTTGAAATCATTCTAAACCTACCTAAATTTTGATAATTTAATTTCTCTAATTTCATAAAAAAAAATAATTGCTTGGCAAACCTGCAATATTTCTTAATAAAATTCTGGGGTTAAATACAGTATGGCCAAAACATTCTAAAACTGAAATAAAATACAGGGTTTTCTATATAAAAAATATACTTATTTATTTGTCAGGCAAAAACGCAACACCCTGTATGTCTAAAAATATTTTTAAAATACCTTGTTTGAAATCCATATAACTTTTATTTGAAACTTTTTCGTGTCTATAGCACAAATTGAATTGAACAATTACGCACTGATGGGTCAACCTGTGTATATGATTCACACCCAACTTTCCCATCGCGCCTTGTGCATACATATTATTCACAAGCAGCACTTGATTTCAGGCCACGTATTTATAAAATAAGCACATGTACCGTGCATTTCTTATGGGGAATCTATTGAATAGGCGTGGAATTAACAATATTAATTTAAGTTTGTCTGATAATATCTTCCTATTTTTTGTTACATAATTATATGTGAGAACATTTTATTTATGTTCATAAAGTATTTTTTCTCATAAATAACTTACCAAACAAATACATAAAGGAAAATATATGTACTGTATTCATCTTGAAGGTTATATTAGGCAAAAATAAAATTAATTTAATTATTTTATAAAAAATTGTTTTTCTACCAACAAAAACAGATTTATCTTCCAACAAAAACAGATTTATCTTCCAACAAAAGTCTTTCTGCATAGATTGGCACATATACAGTGCTTTTCAGATAAAAGTATCCACCTTAAGTAACTTTTGAAGGACTGATTATTACAAAAAACAAAAAAATACGTCAATTAATATTCGAAGGGGGAGATATCGTGCCATATTTAAGTTTGCTGAAAAAGTCACCCTTTCACCCCTACTATCATCCCTTCAATTTTTTTAAATGGCTTCCCCCATTTTTTTATCCATTTTAGGATTGTTCTCGTTTAACTGATTTCAAAAATGTATAAAACATGGGGTTTAAAATAATTAGTTTATGATCTACAGGGTTCCATTATTTGAGTGACAAATTTTTACATCTCACCTTACTGACTGCAGCAAAATTGGATTTAGAATACATTATACCTTAATCGTACCGCTAAAAAATTGTTGAAGTTTTTTTATGATACATGGTAAAGGTATTGGAGATTTGAAAAATGAATTTAAATTACTTTTATAGTGTATTTTGATACATGTGCACATTGATTTGTTGAGGTTATTTATTTGATTTGAAAATGGTTTACAGTTTACAAGAAATAATTGAACTTGTAGGTTTATACTACAAAAATAACAGTTCTGCACGAGCTGCTGCTAGAATTTTCAACGAAACACACCAAGGAGGTCATGCAACTCATAAGTATGTAATTGATCTTATGCATAAATTTACATCAACCGGGTCAGTTGGCAATAAAAAACATAACCGACTGGAACTCGTAAATAACGAAGCAATTGAAGTCGCAGTTTTAGGACAAGTAAGTCTTGAAAATCAACAAGCACAGTCACTGACAACAATAAGCAGAGAAGTAGGTGTTTCATCTTCCACAGTTTATCGAATATTACACAAGCATAAGTACCATCCATACAAAATTAAATTGGTTCAAGAGTTGTATGAAGATGATTTTGATCGTCGTCTTGAATTTTGTGAACTATTGAGTCAGCGCTTGACTGACAATCCACATTTGTTGCACAACCTTTGTTTTTCGGATGAATGCACATTTTCAGTTAATGGTTTAGTTAATAGACATAATTGCAGATATTGGGCTGAGAGTGATCCACATGTTGTGCGTGAATACCACACACAGAATCCTCAAAAGTTAAATGTATGGTGTGGTATCCTAGGTGACCTTTCTTTTTAGACGGAAACTTAAATGGAGAGTCATATCTTGAGTTATTGAGAGAAGTAATTGATCCACGTATTACAACAATAATAGAAAATGATCATAATCTTTCTGAAGATTTGCTTGTCTTTCAACAGGATGGAGCGCCTCCACATTTTGCTTTGCCAGTACGACAATTTTTAAATGAAACTTTCCCCAATCGTTCGATAGGTAGAAGAGGCTCGATGATGGAGTGGCCACCTAGATCACCGGATTTATCACCTCTAGACTTCTTTTTATGGGGTTATTTAAAAACAAAAATTTATGCTACCCAACCAGATTCTTTAGAAGATTTACGACAAAGAATAGAGTATGAATGCCTACATTTAAATGCACACGTGTTCGGTAATGTCAGGGAGGCTTTTCAATCTAGGTTATACCATTGTATGGACATTTTGAACAATTTTTATAATAAATTTTGAAAATGAAATATTCGTTTTGTCATTGGAAACGCTTGTGACAAAATCATTAAAATAAAAGTTTTGCACAATTCAATTTTATTTTAATTTAAAATTCTGTAGATCGTAAACTAATTACTTTAATCCCCATGTTTTATACATTTTTGAAATCAATTAAACGAGAGCAATCCAAAAATGGATAAAAAAATGGGGCAAGCCATTTAAAAAAATTGAAGGGATGATAGTAGGGGTGAAAGGGTGACTTTTTTAGCAAACTTAAATATGGCACGATATCTCCCCCTTCGAATATTAATTGACGTATTTTTTTGTTTTTTGTAATAATCAATCCTTCAAAAGTTACTTAAGGTGGATACTTTTATCTGAAAAGCACTGTATAATGTGCACAAACAAAAGATTAAGTTATTGACGTCCTTTATTACCTGTTTTTAAGGCGTGAATAAAATATATGCACGCGGCTTATGTTTGTAATAATTTAATCCCGCGCCGTGTGTATATATTTTATTCACGCTTCTATTGGATCTTGTAGTTTAAATAAGTATTTACTTTACTCTTAAGACGTAAAAACAAACTTAAATTTTTAGAAAAACTACATTTTTCTTTTTTTTATTTGGGCCGATTGGTCTGAAAGACTTGGTCTCCGCGTAATACGCTTTCCCAGGTTTGAGAATGAAGGCAACTCTTGCAGACCTCCAGCTTTGTGGAACATATCCGAGGGCTATGTTATCTCAGAATAATTTGCACAGTGGTCCTTCCTATCCTTCCCGGCCCTTTTGTAGAAGTGCAGGTCCAGCTGTCTTGTATGGTTGAAAGGGATACATACAATTTATTGTATAAAAATTAGTTGCGAATATGTACTACATGATCGTTTTGAATGTTTTGTTTTTTAATTGCAGGTCGCTGGTTCAATTATTGGTAAGGGAGGAGCAAACATCACTAAGTTGAGGAGTCAGGTCAGTATTTTTATAGTCAATTATTGCTTTTTTAAATAAAATATCCAGATATACTACTTTTAAAAAATGGTTCAGTGTATAAACATATCCAAATTATATTTTTTTTTTGTGAAATTATTTAATTAATTAATTTTTATTTTATTTTTTTTTATTTAAATATGTTTTGTTTTTATGTATTCTGATTAAATGTAATTTTTTTTATATTGATTTCCTAAAAATTTATTACATAGTAATTTTTCATCAAATATTCATTTTAATTAACTATCAGACTTTTATTATTTTTTAGGTAGTTACCATGAAACAGTCTTTTGTAAACAAGTTACATTCTCATTGAAAATTTCACGTAAAGTTATCCGCTGAACCAAGTTGGCTTAATTTGAACTTATAAAAACATTGACAGCACAGCTAACCCATTTTTTGTTTTGTTTTCAATTTAATGCTCTGATATCTCTAATTAATATTATTTATTCTTCGAATAAATGAGCTTTAAAACTTCACAGAATTGCAGCTGTAGTAAATAACTACAACTCGGAAGATGAATCCAATTTATCGTTATCTAAACTTTTACAACAATTAAACCAGATATTCATTAAACATTTAACCTCTTTCTCATTTTTAAATGTTATGCTTCGCAATTTAAAATCTTAAATCGGTCCAAAAAATTGACAAAAACATTTTTTAACTTTTGAATTCAAATATAAAATGGGGTATGAAAATACGTGAACATTAAAACATGTGCCATGCCACTAGTTTTTCATGTATGTCTTTAGTTTCGAATAAAACAATATAGTCACTTTATTTTTTCTATTCTGTTTTTACGCCGCAACAGAAATTTAACTATTCTATAGTTAATATGCAGGGTGTTTTTTAAGTTGAGTTTTTATTTTAACAGATTAGTCAGACACATTGAAACAGATTTTATATATAAAAAAAAATCCTAAACTAAAAAAGGTTATCTTGGAGAAAGGAGCTGCAGTAGATTTTCCACAACACTTTAATTATCATAAACGTGTGCCATTTTTTACTTAAATAGCGAACAATTAATTTAATAAAAACTGAATATAACAACACAAGAACCCTACGAATAATTGACAACGGAATGGCTAATCAAAATAGTTTTACACAAATACATTTTCTTTGTTGCATTTTACAGGATTGCACTGAACAACTGAACAATTTTCTATTTCCGAGTATCTGAAAAACATTGTTTTAACAAGTCCTATACACTATTAAAAGAGAACTCAACTCAGACAACACCTTGTATAATTAATTGTACATGTCATATATTTCAAAAATAAGTTTGTCCCGGAAGCTTTTCTGCTTATTAGTAAAGTTTAACAAAAGTGCCAAAAAAGTTGCTGCTTAATTAACTACATAAAATGAATATTGTGAAAGAGGTACATCCATTTATTTCGCTATTAACGAATTTTCAACTTATATCCTAATATTACAAAATACATTAACTGCTAATAAAAAAGGGGTTAGTGACAAATTTCATCTGTACTGTTAATTGTTAGATTAAGATTTCATTTTTAATTTGAATTTTTTTTGCAGAGTATACGTTTGAATACAATAAATAATAATATTCAAATTCGTTTTTTTTTTATCTAATATTTCAAGCAATTATTTTTATTATTACTCATTTACTTTTAAACAAAAATAAAGGAATTTGAATATAATTTATTTTACTCATACTTATATTTTCATTTATTAATTTTAATTACTAATAAGTTAAAGACCCTTTCTCTTAGCAGGCCCTTGCATTTAAGAAAACCCAAGGAGTACTGTGTCCCAGTACTCGCCCTGTATTTATTCCAGCTCTAGAGTGCTCATGGGAAAGACCGTCATACGACGTTTGACATTTCATACGTAGACCGTTTAACTAAAAACCCTGCAGACCCCGAAGATTAATGCTAAGACATAATTCCCCTAAAAGAAGAGGCCACTAAACAAATGAAAGAAGAAGGTTTGCGTGTGATTGTCGAATATAAGGACCAGTCAGATTTATATCGGTTAACTTCGAATATTATTTTTTTCTTTTTATTATTTTATAACTTTTTATACATAAATTAGGAATACCTTCAGTAACTTTTAATTAATCAATTAATAGTAACATTAGTTAAAAGATTATGGAAAGCAATTTTAATTACTTTTATATTTCTAATGTATTGTTGATAAATATTTTAAACAAATTTAAAATTGAGGACAAGTTTTATTATTTAATATTATAAATTCTGGCTTGGTCTTTAGGGCGGTAATTCCCATTTGAAGCACTCCATTAATAAAAAGTTAACTAATGTCTTCTGTCCCCGGCCGTGATGTCCACCCTGTGTCCAACTCCGACTGATTCTGCCATTTTGTTGCGAATTGCCATTGCCGTGAACTACAAAATTGCCAATTGCCGTGACTACAACCACCAACAACAGTACAAAGCATCCATAACTGTCCCTGATTGCCCGGGCCCCGAACGGTAAAGACTTTAATAAAAATCTCTTTTTAGTTGTGCTCACCCCGGCTCTGGTTGCACTGCATTAACGGCGCTGCTAGATTTTTTTTTATTTAAGTTTTGTTTTTATAACTTTATGTATACACCTTTTTAACCTGGGTTTATGTTCTGTCATTTGTTAATAAGTATAACTCGTTTTTAGTTTTGAGTGAGTAGCTGTAATATAAATATTATATTTTAAATTGAGACTTATATGTTGGTTATAATTAATTATAATAATTAAGAAGTTTAACTTTAAACTCAATCTCAGCTAGGAAAAAACGTAAATATTTAAAAATTGCTATAGTTTAAACAGAAAGTAGGTAATAACTTTATTTTTATATCACCATTAGAATAGTAGTTTGTGCAACAAGAGTGGATTTGTACAGTATATTTTTTCTAGTACTCTCTCAAGAAAACCTTCAAAATTTATTAACAAACTTAGAAGTTTTTAATATAAAATAAATTAAACACAAAGATTTGAATTTATGAATTTGCTAATTTATAAAATAAAACAAAATCACTCAAAGTTTTGCACATCTCATATCACTTGAATTGGTTTTAGATCATTTTATTAAAATTAACGGTTTCTTCGTTAAATACTACTAATTTTAAATTGTATTTTACCTTAAAAACTAAAAATTATACCAACGAATAGTTTGACAGAAGTGTTACTAATTTAAAAAGTTTAAAAAAATAATCATCGTTTGCAGTTGGATGCAGAGAAGGGGAGGTAAACAACATGTTTTATGTCCCGGTGGTAGGAGCTGTCGTATAACCTGTAAAATTCAAAATAATGTTCTTTTTCAAGCATTATTGTTATAGACGTCTAGAAGCAAATTATTTCATTGTCAGCAAAAAACGAACATTATTTTGAATTTGACAGGTTGCACAACAGATCCATCCCACTACAAGGACGCACTCCCCTCTATCCAACTACAAATAGCAAGTAAAAATCACGACGTGTCACTTTTTGCAGTCAGATAAGGGACTATTGATGTATTTCATACATTCGTACAGTTTCTATGACGAATATGAAATTACAGTAGAACCCCAATTATCCGTGCGCGCTTTATCCGTGCGGTATTTTAAATTGTACATCCGTGTGTGGATTATCCGGGGCTGGCGGCCAGAGGTACGCTGGTTACTTACAAATGGCTACTAAACATTTGATTGACTTACACTTAATTTTGATACTAAAAAATGTACAAACAATGTACAAAATAAGTTATTATTCATATTCCTTTTTTTATTTTTCCTTTTCCCAAAAATTCAATTTTAATAAAATTTGGTGAAATTATACTTTTTTGGGTCTTAAATAAGCAAAAAAAAAAAAATAATAAAAAATTTATGGGGCTTATTGTTGCTATTGTCATTTTTTGTTTTTATTCATTTTTAAGCATGTTTTTTAATGGTGACTATAATGTTTTTTATTTTACCAAAAACTACATGTCAAAACAAAAAAAATGAGTACCTGATAATTTTGCACTGTAGAATTTCTTTTTAAAAAAGGTGTTTTTTGACCGATAAAAATTAATATCTAAATTTTTTTATTTAAATTTTGTTCTGCCTATTTAAGACACACAAAGATATATTTACGGTATAATTTCATCAAAATTGAATTAATTTTGGTAAAAGGAAAAAAAATTGACCGAACTTTTGCATTTTTATCGAAAATTTTGAGGTTATGTTAAAAAGTGGCCTCTTTAATGTAGATTTTTGCTTGATCTACAACTTTTGCATTATACATTTTTGTTTCTGACGTCAACTTTCGCCGGAAATCGCTAATAAAGGGTGTATCTTATAGTGGTACCCGATGTTTTTTTTTTTTTCAAATAACTTGACAACCAGGTGACATATCGCTATGTTTGTTAATGTTTTAGAAACGTCAGTCCAGTACAATTTTAACAATGAACCACCTTACACTACAACGTGCTGAAATTGTAAAAAATTATTTTCAAAAAAAACTCCTATTGCGTGCAATGTTCCCGAATCGATTGATGTCGAAATACGACGATTTCGACTGGCCGGCTCATTCACCAGATTTGACCGCACCTGATTTTTCCTGTGGGGATATCTGAAGGGAAAGGTTTATGCCGATAAACCAGCCACTCTCCAGCAACTTTAGGCCAACATACGCCGAGAAATCGCTGCCATTCAACCCGAAAAACTCCAAAAAGTGATGGAAAATTCCGAAAAACGGGCCGATTTGTGTGTTGCGTCCGGAGGTGGCCACTTGGCCGATGTCATCTTCAAAAAGGGACCAAATAAATTGTAATGGATCCAATTTCAATAAAAAAAACATTTATTACAAAAAATTCACTGTTTGTCAAATTATTTAAAAAAAAAAAACTTCGGATACCACTATAAGATACACCCTTTATTACAGTACGTCATCATTTGGCAAAGTAATTAATTGGATACCGCCACCTATTGGGGCTTTATTGAAGTGTTAATATTATAGGAAAATAGGAAATATTTCTTAAAATATTTTACTTATTTTTTATTTATTGAGAGTTATAATTATGTATTAGAAATTCGAATTAATGGTTATTATTTTCACTCTTTTTCAACCCCCTAAAACTTTACTTCAAAATGTTGTATTTTTATTAATAAAAATAGATGAAACGTATTTCGAAATATTTTAATATCTTGATTTTATTTTTTATAAAAATATAGGATTTCCTGGTTTAAAAAAAGTTCTAGCTTGCGATCCTGAATACTATAAGGAATATAAACAACCTTAGTATTAATTTATTTAGGCATAATATATATATAAATATATCTGCAAACTTGAATATAGCTACAACAAATGATGGAACATATTTTTTTTACACCAAACTTAAAAGCACAGAGTGCAGCTATCATATCACTTTTGCGCCTCTTACCACAATCTCATCAAAATCTCATTTTTCAAATTATTCAAATATCCCATAATTAAGATAGTGGTGCAACCAGTATATTGCCGGATTGTCCGCTAGGTGGCATTCTAGGTTCCAATGACCACGCCTCATCTCTTACAGGGTAATTCTGAATTAGTTTCAATTGGGCGTTTTTAAGAACTAGTAAGAATGATCATTTTAATGCTTAGGTGAATAATGTACTTTTTCATAATCATCAGCGTATGCCATAATAAAATGTTCTATATATTACTAATTTATTAGGTAGGCCTGGTGAAGGAAAACGCTTACCGGAAATGATCTATAAGCTAAAACCATTGAATAAAATCTTGGTTATCAGTATATCACTTGTGTCCTTACTATTAGGCTAATATATAATGAATTTAACGAATAATGAAATGGTAGTAAATGAGCTGCTCTGGAAGATGAAGATAAGAAGAAGACAGCCTAGGCTAGAGCGCTTGACTAATATAATCTTTACCGGAGACACCGTATTATGGCCTCCTATAATATGTCAGTTCCCAAGATTAATCTTGTTATGATTTTAACATTTAAACTAAGTGGAGGAACTGAGGCGCAAAACAGTTTCAGTATTCCATGTAATCTATAATCATTAAACATTGATCTTAACTAGATGGTTACTTTTATTTACCTACCAATTACTAATTTTTTTATATTAAATTTCCTTAACAATTGTGCGATAAAATCAGTGCACTAAAGGTGCTTCTTTTATAGTTCTGACTAATTCTTGAGAAACGTCAAATTGAGGCTGAAGTATTTACCTGTATACATTTTTTTAAAAGCTGTCATTCAATTTGATCACCATTTGACCATTTTATTATTTTTAATTTTTTTTATGTATAATTTTTTCAATTGTTCAAATTGAGTGACAAAAATCTTTTGATAGGAAACAATAATAGCTTCTATCTTTATTAAACTCTTGTGCTAATATTTCCTTACAGGTTACTAAAGATATAAAGTACTAACAGTTCTTCACCTTGCTTTTGATTACTGGAACAAAATAAAAGTACCTATTGCTTGAAAGAATATGTTTACAAGATCCCTTTACTCGTATTTTTGTCTTTTTTGACGAAATCAGAACTACTATAATTATATGTATATCTTGATTTATCTGACATTAAAGTTCTCTATTATATTTTTAAAATCTTCGTAAAGAGCTACTTTCATAAACCTTGACCTAAATTTAAACTGAGTGAGTAAAAAAATATAAATAATTGTATGTTCCATTTAAAAAAAATACAAACTTTAATCTTGCCCCGTTTGTTTATTTTTGATACATGCTCTATTTAGTCACGAAAGTTTATTGCATTATCTATAGTAGAAAAGAGTCCAAAAAATAGTTATTTTTGCACCTAAATCCATACTTTACACTTAGTTACCTTTTTCATAAATCACAAAAAAAATGAACCATGATTCCACTTTCTTCTCTTCAAAAATACGTATCTAGCACTTATTTTTCTTTAACTCTTAAAGTAGTTTTTAATTTTTTAGCCATCGGCTGTAAATCCCCGATTGTTTGGAACATTTCGTTTTCTTGTATTAGGTACCTGCAAAAAAAAACAAAATCATAATAAACGTTTCCAAAAATGTCCAGGTAATACATTGCGTACTACTTCAGAAGTTCTTACACCCACCCTAGTAGAATCTAAGATTTACACATTTTCCTGTTAAATCGAAAAATATCTCCAAATAGTTTTTTTTTTTTTTTTTGGTAATTTTTCCTCTTTCTACAGAACGTGGACTAAGACTTCTGTTGAAAACGTGCATTAAATACAACTTGAAGCAAAAAATGTTATGGCTTGAAATATGAAATTTTAGAAATCATGCAGTTTGAAGCAAACTATAAAACTTTAAAATAAATTAAAGCTGTAATTATTAAAATTAAATAAAATGATGACAAAAAAGCCTAAAAACTAGATACTGCAATTATTATTCAGTCATTGACTAGTCATGCTCACGGACAAGAGTTTTTGTGTACCATATATTTTTGAGACAAGTTGTATTTTAAGTCACAATTTAGCGCATAGATGGGATCAGTAAGTTATCAAAAAAATTCGTTAGTTCTAAGAGATCTTTAGAACTGATAGTGCATGTCTGCCAAAGGATAATAATTATACTACACTAATTATTACATTAAGCAGTCATTGCTATCTTAAATGTTTTCCATGAAACCTTTGTTTACATGATCTGACATGATATAGCGCATTTTTATTTTTAACAACTCTCCAAACGATCGACTACAAAATTAATTCCTTCTCCACACGTTTGCCAAAATGTGTAAAGAAGTTTCACTAAAAGCACAGAAAATAGTTTGCAGACATACGAATTAAATTACAATTTCTCCTAAAATAAATGAGTGTCCAAAACATTAGTTTTATTAGTATTGATCCCATCTATTCGGTCCGGAATAAACAATATCACTTCGCCACCAACTGATCCGTCTCCAACGTGGATTCGATGTTTTCCCAACTTCCTTTCGACCAAGATTAAACTAAATTCTGTTTACAGGCTCTTAACACTGTCATCGGACATGGACTCAGTCTGCAATATCGTCAACGATGTGGTTCCCAACTTAGAAGAGGTGAGTGTGAGTAACAAATATTTTATAGCTAAAACTTTTATTATCCAGTGAACAGTAAACATCTTAACGGTGTGTTTAGGGCTGCAAAAAATCAATAAAGTGAGTAAACAAATATTCAACTCTTATAAACTCTTGAATTGGGTGAGAGAGAGAGAGAGAGAGAGAGAGAGAGATAGAGAGAGAGAGAGAGATAGAGAGAGATATCACACAACTAAGTCAACTATATGAAAATGTAAAAAATCATTATTATGTCTTAATACAATTAATTATCTTTGTCTACCTTACTGAGTTATACAGATATAGACGAACTGTGCTATTGTATCGGCGGCAATTGAATTCATGTCGGTTACAACAGGTAGACATTAATGCTCTAAAATAATTCGAGATAATTAATATTTTAATTAGCGCATTTCTATTTTGTTTGCAAATGAAGATTTAAAATTTTATAGCAAAAAATGTGCATGGCATATCTACTTCTATGTAGACAGGTACAGTTGATTTAATTAGCTAAGGTGCTGTTCGGACATTTAACTCAATCTGGCAACCGCGCTTGCGGAGTGTTGTGATCGGGAATGCCACGTGACGAATATGGGGAATGTGTGGGAGTGCGCTTAAAAAATGAAGACGAGTGTTTAAAAAAGAGAAGAATTCATATAAGACTTTTGTAGAGTTTGCATTGTTTGTACAAGTTACCTTTATAACAAAATCTTTTAAAAATCTATTTTATTCTACATAATACAGTCCAACAGGTGCAAACCCCTCTCTACTTCCTAAGTGATGTTCTTAATTTTCGCTTGGTAAATAAATAAGGGCGTCATCAAATTATTCGTTTTGTTATTTTAAAATTAAATGTTGGCTATTCTGTTGAAATAAAGGTTATTAGCAATACAAGTTCACCCTTAAAATTGGTTTCGAGTATTCGCTATTAATGTGTCATATCACAAGAAATGACAAAAAAACCAAATAGTATAATCATTATACTATATATTGGCAATGGTATGTCTAACTATTAAAACGATAACAAATTCTAGTGAGCATGCTACACCCTAACAAGATTGTCAAATCCGTTGATATTCCATCCAAAAATACATGTGGTCCGATAAACGACATCTCCCTATCATATCCCGTGCTCATTGATGTAACGAATGCGTGCTTTGTGTGCCAATCCAAATTATATTTGTAGTCGAATTTGCTTGACAACTTTTCCAAGTGAACTGTTGAAAAGCCTCGTGAAAAGCTGATACGATGTTCAAGAAAAGTAACCAAAATTAATTTAAAAGTACAAATTCTTGTTCACTGCTCCCCTTTTATTCAAGAGTGGTGATTGTTTGTGTTTTACTATAACCAGTCGTTCAATGATCGTTCGTTATGCTTCCCAAGCCCTCAAATTTTACCTACAGTTTTCTTTATCATGTTCATAAGTCGGTCAGTACGTTACTGAACTTCATATTTTCCAGGCAGAAGGCTTTGAATAGGATGTGGAAGCACAAGAGACAAATCTTAATTTCCGGTTTAACGGCATTCTGACAAGGCCGGAAGTGAGCAACCGTATTCAAGAATTTATTGCAGAATCGATATTTAATCAATCCGAGTGTCTTGTCGACAAAGTGGATGAATCAGGAACGGATTGCGCATAATTTGGAGCGCTTCCAAATACGAACATGCCATAATCATCAAAATTATTGTTCGCATATATTAGCATTAATAAATTTTTATGGACCATTTTTCAAGAAGGTTAAATAAACTTCCTAACCAAAAACGGCACATTGATATGGTAAATGAGTAATCCAATACCATCTCTCACAATGTATTGTAAATGTAAGAAGGTTCTGCGATATTCGGCAGAATAGAGGATTACAATTTTATACAACGAATAAGTTGTTGGTGACCTTTTGAGACAGTGTCCGATAACGTAATAACTTTGAATATAAAGAGGAGTGTTTAGAAAACACTATGTATACATATCTATTTCTAGAATTGTTTTTTTATTTTTTTATGTTTAAAAATATATTTCTTTTATTTTATACTGTTATTTTTATTAACGTCTTTGACCACCCTGTATCAATTTTAATTTTTAATTATGATCTTTCATTCTTTTTATTATAAACGATACAAAAATGAACTACGATAATTTTGACCACAGTTTATGATATTTAGATCCGAGTGACTTTGCAACGCTCCAATGGTGCATGTTCCTATTATACTTTGATGAATTTATTGTAAGGTATATTCCCCGTTTTGAAATGGATGTACCTGTATATTCCATATTTTATCTTTTACATTTCTCAATGCATTTTTACTTTTCCTTTTACAATTATTTAGTTTTTGAAGAAATATCTCGACAACTGTAGTTTATTTGAAAATGTTTTTATGGCAAAGGTCTATATACAAGATTGTTCAAAGCAGAAAATAAGTAAATATTTCTGTATGAGCGCAGATTTTCTTTCGTTATTCTCCCAATCGAAGTCTAATTCATGTAAAGTTTTCTACAATTTGTCTCTTTTAACGTTTGTCAATGTTTCGTCCCCATTAATGTCTACTAAAAGTTTATCAAAAGTAGTTATATTTTTTTGTAAATAAAACGAATGCACTTCGAATCATTTGTTTCATGGTTTTTTCTCTCAGTTAACGTTTTAGGTGCTACTGTAATATTTCCATCCTTTCGTTGCTTCAAAAGTCAACTCCGGTCATATTTGAACACTTAGAAACTATACTCCGAACCGTACTATTGAAATGTTCTTGTACAAGAGCGTCATGTACATTTAACAATAAAGTTTTAATGTGCACGGTTAAATTGTACTTTTAATTTCACAGGATTATAATTAGACGTTTGTGCCATTTTTATTGTACAAATTAATTCACTTAAAGTATCGCTTTTTATCGCCTATTATTACAGAACTTAAATTGATCTTGAATTGTAAATATTTTCTACCTGTAGAGATTACATACTTGTCTTATTTTTGTTGATTAAAATAACTAGAAAATGTAAGACAAAAATTGGAATAAATTGTTATTTTTAAAAATTTTACGAAGAAAACCAAAGATTTTATTTTGGAACAAATAATGCTAAATATTTTATTTTAGAAATTCTCCGTCACTGATTTATGATGTTATATTGGGGTTTATCTCCTGGGTCATAAAAATTTTGCTATCAATCATTTTCAAATAAACCATAACAAAGGTTTCACACAGTACGACATAAAACGGTTACTGCGTTTGGTCAATTAAGAACAAAAGTTCGAAATATTTAGAGAGAATATGCGAAAACTGCTGATTCATTGTTACTCAATAGTGTTGGACTAATTGATGTTAGTCAAGAGAAATGTTCAATTATGTTCACGAAAAAAATATTTAACGAGAATATCGCAAATTCTTATTCAAGTATTATGAGTAGTATTGTTAAATTTTCGGAAATATATTTTAGTAAATATTCCTGAAACATTGAATTATATGGAAATACTGGAAATATATAATAGACTAAAAAACAATAAGAAAAAACGGAATATTTATTTATAAAAATACTAACAAAGCATAGAATGCTTATACATAAACACAAATAGTTATTCTTCAAAAAAATTAAAATAAGGTAAAATTTGTACAAAACAATTTATTTTTGACAAACAAGTTGAACGCGTTGAGCGCATATCATTGCTGTCATCACAATCAGTAACATCTTCTGCTTCTTGCCAGTCTACTTCCTCAAAATCTTCAATAGTATCGGAAATAAAAATTGACCTATGGTTCTTTTCTATTTTCTTCAGCAAGTTTTCATTGTTGGATACATAGAGTAAGTCTGTTTCTCTTTTTTGAATAAATATAAACGCTAAAACTGCGTTTCCTGGCCGCCGAAGATACTTTTCCATATAATTTTCCATTTCTACAATGGTAATTTGCTGAAAGAATTTGTGTTTCATCAAGCATAGAACCTTGGTGATTTTGGATTTAGTATTTCTGCAGTAAAATGTATGGGCCAAATAACAAATTTTTCTCCTTTGTCAACAAACTCAATTCAGATTTTTTTTCTTTGTCGTTAAGTGGGGACAATGCAAGTTTGTTTTGAATTGTCCTTTTAATATTCCGAAATGCTTTCACAGCAAAGTGAATATTGTCATAATCTCCTTCTACAATTGTCACCCATTTGCAAATAGGTATCTGAATCTGTAACGTGTGGAGGGTGGGTTATCCCCACGACACTTAGGCCTCATTAGGCCCATTGTGCAATCTCCTAAGATGATAGGCACCTCCTAACTCGTGAGCCAGCCTACAGATTTAATGTAGTTGACAACGTCGCCAAGAGGTGCTTCTCTTATATCGGCCAGTGTTAGCCGATACTCGCCGAACACAAATCTTCTAATAAACGAGAGCGACGAGCAAGGATATGCTCGATGGTCTCATCTTCTTGTTCGCACCCTCTGCAGAGTGCGGATTCTAAGAGCACCATGATAAGGAGATGCTTCCGTACTTGGCAGTGACCAGTCAGAATGCCTGTAACCTGGCGTAGATTCTGTCTAGTCATAGTCAAGTATTTGTTTGCTGCAGAGTTGTCAGGATAACTTAAGAGCTCCCTGGCAACTCTGCAGTTTCTTGTTTCATCCCATCTTTCCTTGGTTGGCTGCTTTCTTAGCTAGTGAATCGGCAAGACAGTTACCTTTCGATGTGGCGTGACCTTTGATCCATTTTAAGGTGACCACATTGTTGATGGATACTTCGGCCAAAGCTTCGTGACATTCTAGTACTAACCCTGAATAAATTCGTGGTCTGTTCAGGGCGAGTAGTGCTTGTCTGCTATCTGTATAGATGAGCATGTTCCTTCCAGTGATATTGTTTCTGGTTATTTCTTTTGTTGCTGTGAGAATCCTCGTTAGCTCTGTTTGCAAATAGGTTCAAAAATATTAATTAGTTTGGAAATTTGATCCCAAAATACTTCGTCATCTAATACCACTGCTTAACATATTTATCAATCATTTGTGTTGCTGCTTGGCTTAGTACAACTTGTAAACTGATCTTAATGCTATATACCTACACTTTTTAAACTGGTCAAAATTGAAGACCATCTAGTGTTTACAGGCAAGTGTATGGCATTTGGTTTCACATTTTTGTTTCCTGTTTGTTTTGTTCGTTAAAGTTCATTGTTTTTTTCTTGATCTCCTTTGTAATATCTATAAATTTATAGATTAGAATCGATGTAGTATGATTTTAAGCAGCTTATTACATAAGAAATACGATATTTATGTCTACAGGCTCGGGAGTTCCAAGGCGCTAGCCGTAGAAATCCGATGTTGGTGAATCGTCGAGCTCGATATATTTACTATATGTTTATGACAATTATTGTTCTATAGTAAGTTTAATACTTATAGGGTTACAAAATATGAAAGATATATTAATAAACATCGGATTTGAATCGTTTGTGACAAGATTTAAACATGTTTTTAAATATTTCCAATATTTGCGAGACACGTTTTCATGGAAATATTTCCAATTGCAACACTAATAAAAAATTAACCGGATGAGTCTAAATCTCATTCATGACTAGCGAGAAGTGCACATCCACCACTTACGTACATGTTGAAGCCGGTTTTCATCCGAATCTGTTAAATACATTTGAAAACATTTTGGTTTTTTTTTTTATACAAACTAAAATTTTTAGAATCAACCGGTATATATTTTTCTCCTCTCCTTAGATCGATTCGACTTGGTGGTGGAGAAAGAATTCTTTAACAATCTTAAATAAGATTAACGAAGTACCAATTTCGCGATTTATTTGAATTAATTTCCTCGAAAAACTTGGGAGAGTGGTCTTCAAGGAAGGAATTTCAAAATCGCCAATTTAAAACTGTACGCTTTGTTCCTTTTTATATTATTCACGGGATGGGAGTTCAAAAATATTTTCTTTTATCACCTACCTATCGTTTTTTGATATCAAATTTTGCTCAAATCATGAAACTAACAAAATTAAATAAAAAAAAACACCTGTTTTATAAAGCTACATAGCCAGTTTTAATTAAAACTTAAAATAGTTTATCCAGCTGTTCCGCATGAAATTAATTTAATTTTCAAAAACTTTTCATTTAGTTTTACTTTCGTTATGTAAAAAGAAAATGTCTAGTTAAAAGTACTTTATTTTGTTTTCTATACACGTTGAAATGTTTTCAGAATGGTGCTAGCATAAACGGAAATGAATTGGACCTTAGGATGATGATCCACCAAAGCCAAGCCGGTTGTGTCATTGGAAAGGGAGGACAAAAAATCAAAGAAATTCGAGAGGTAAGACCTATTTTTTTTTTTTGTATAATGGAATGACTAATTTTCGAATTGAACGATTCAAAATATAAATACAGATGTTTCAAATTAGTGTAATAAGTGTAAATGTATAATCCTAGAGTTTAAGCTATGCAGTGAAAATACATTTAAAAATACATATAAAAAGAAAATAGTTATAATAATAACGTAAAAAATAACTACATAAAATTATTATAAAAATACTGTAAACCGAATTATAACAAAATTTAAAAAAAAAAATATATTACATTGTAACATTTCAATTTATTGCAAATATATAAAAAAAAATATCTTATTTTTACAGCACTATAATTAGAACTTCACAGATTGTGGTTTTTTTAGTTCTGTAGAGCATTTTAACACATTTTTAAAAAATTTCAAAAAAACATGAGGTTCTAAATTCGTCGGAATATTTTTTATGTATGTTCAGTAATTTACCAATTTTTTTTATTAGAAAGGGGGTATCTCACAGGTGATACCATATAAATTGGTCAAGATCTGATGATGGGATCATTAAAATCTTTATTTTTGAAGTCTGATTTTAGAAACTACTCCTATAACCTGTAAATAATGTAATTGATATTTAAGGAGGTCCTTTCGCCACACCTCTCGCCTCAAATGTTAAAAAAAAAGTTATTAGATTATGACTAAAATTAATTTTTTTCTAATAGTTGAAGTCCTTATTTATCTAATACTGAACTTTTAACTATACCTTACCTTGCAAATTTTTGAGATTTTTTTTTTTTAAATGTGAGTATTTGTACAGTGCCTCACGAGAAAGTAAGTCCTCAACAACAATTCTCGAATTATACTAGTATTTATTGATTAGATGGAGTAGAAAAAAAACTAAAAATAAGGTTTTTGAAATATTTAGATTTTGTTTTATACAATAAAATATATATAGTAAACCGTGGAACTTATTGAGAAATTAATATTAAAAAATCACAAAAAATTTTCAAGTAACCTAGTTTTCTCAAAAATTTGCACGGTAAGGTATAGTTAAAAGTTCACTATTAGATAAATAAGGACTTCAACTATTAGAAAAAAAAAATAATTTTAGTCATAATCTAATATTTTTTATTTAACATTGGTGGCGAAAGGACCTCCTTAAATCAAACGACAAGTGAAGATTCCAAAAATAAATAAAAGGTTGACCAACAATCGGTAGATTTTGAAGAGGCCAGCGAAGCATCGGAAGACAAGGAGAAAATATAATAAAATTATTACACAAGATTGTAAGTTGTGGTTTCTCTTATAAAAAAATATGAATATCCATGTTCTATTATTAAAGTTGAGGGAGTGCTCTTTCAGAGTTAGATATATTTCCATTCTAATTTTAATTATGACACAATAATTTTTTTCAATATTTAATAGGTATTACATTTAGGGATGTTGCGATACTACTGATATGATACTGGTATCGATACTTTTCTTTCGATACCGGGCAATTTAGTACCCGATACTTTGCTTTCGATACTTTACTCATATGGGTACTACTTTTGTTTCGATACTAATACTTTCGTTTTAATATTTTACTAGTTTTGACTTTACAATACGAACAAAAAGTATATTGTAGGATCACTTTATGGTATATGTCGGCGTACCCTATGACCTTTGTTTTTTGTTCTGTACTCTTCCCGATATCGGTATCAATACTTTCGTTCCGATACCGGTATCGATACTTTGGTTCCGATACTCCTTTCGATACCAGTATCGATACTTCACTGGTATCGCAACATCCCATTATACAGTGTCTCAATTTATATAAAACGGAGACAGGTTAAAGATCTCATAATTTTAAGCAAAAGATTCATATTAACAATATCAGTAGCCAAGTTACTGATGATTCAAAACTGATAGGCATGATACATTTTCAACTGCAAGCCACTTGTGAAATTGGATATTTTCTTGGTGTTTTAATTAGTTGTCTAACTTTTACTTCTCTTAACTATTGATCAAATTTTAATTAATGTTTGCCAGTTAATATGAACTTTTTTGCTTACAATTATGAAATCTATAAACTCTTTCAGTTGGATCCGTATAATTTGGGAAATCTGTATAAAACATCAGAACTACAATAGTTTTTCAACAAAAAAAAAATAAGATTGGTTGTCCGTTGTGGTGATAATATTATGAGCCGGGCTAGTTTCGTAGTGCGATAGAGATAGATATGTTTACAATCATAGGTGCAACTAAGGTGGAATATACAAAGCAATAACACCGTTAAGCAGAGTGTAGATCACTCGCAACAGCCGTTTTAATTAATTTGCTTTATATTAATTAACATAAGTTGATTATTGTAAGACATCAAAATATGGTTGATGTTTTGTTATGATCTAAACACATTTTAGAAACTTTTATAAAGGGTTACTTTTTTTATTTTAAAATCTTTTCTTAAGATAAAACCGAGGAAATTGCATTTTTAGTTTTTTTCGGCCGTAAGCCCATTAGTTTTTTAAATGTTAAAATAATACATTTACCTAACTTGTATAGTGACTTTTGGATTTTACGGTCATATTGTAGTACACCTTACGCTCTATGCTTGGTACCAATATCTCGTTTTTTTAAAATAGTACCCTTCTGCACGTTCTAATTTTGGTTTACCTGCTGTTTTAGAATCTCCAAAATATTAGTTTTCAATTCACTAACAATTCAGCTTGTGACACTTAGTCCCTACAGAGTTCATTTCTAGAGCAGTTTTGGTAATTAGTAATATTTTTAACAAAATAATAGATGAATTTAATAATTGCATTTTTATTTAAATTTTAAATTTTCCAATTGGAAATTATTTTTATTTGGTGATCATTTCTTGAGAATGTTTACTTGCTGACGAGTCCTTAGTAAGCAGAATCAAAAGCTAGAGTGTCGAAAATAGATCTCTGCTGTTTTTTCTTTGTATATAATTCAATATCTTTTGTGGTTTTAGCCAAAGCAGTAATAGTTTTCCGGAGGGAAACGGTGGCTCATATTGTTTTATGACATAGATTTTCTTGTTTTTCTTTATTTTACTTCTTGGTCACATTTGAGTTGAGAATTATTATCCTCCTTCCTATTAAGTTTTATTGCAATGTGGTTTATGGGCTGCTGTGTTTTTGTTAAGCGATGGTACGGAATATAAAGAGAAGAGGATTTTTTGTTTTCCTAGTGTTGTATTGATGATAATCTCCGATTTTCGTGGAATATCCATCTTTAACATACTACAGACATTGATATACGAAAATGCAGGAAAGCATCATATTTTGAATAATGGTCGACAATAGAACAATCTGAGGATAATAAGATCGGTCTACTTAGAATCCGAACTATTTAAAAATACGTTCTGATTTGGAAGAATCGGCCCATAGGATTAAGCCATAGCTAACCAAATTAAAAAATGCTGTAGTAAAAAGTTAATTCTGCATGTCTTTTTAATTCGAAAGGCGACTTTATTGAATTTCTTTATTAGGTAGTCAATATATGTGTGCTAATTTAAATACTGTAGAAAATGAAGATACTAATAGTTGATATCTAGGTCTATTCTATAGTCTTCTACACAGATATAGTTATTTTTTATTAATGTCATAAATATTATTGGATTGTCAATGTTATATTTTTGAATAAAGTCGTTTTGAATTATATCAAATCTCCATATATATTTTTATTAGAAGAGTTTATACCGGGTAGGTATTAACCCATTCTGAACATTTGTGGCGACCGTGACAGGACACTGCAGTTCCTTTTGATTATGGAGAAGACACAACGGCTTTTGGACATTCAACGTAATGCTTTTGATAGAGTATTTGAAGATATAATTAGCGAATTAGATCTTTCTCAACCCGATGCCACTTCTATAAAAGGCAATATTTTTGTCCTGGATAACAAAATAGAAAATATTAACCTCCTTAGTAAGGAATTAATTGATATGTTACTTGATTCATCTGATGATTCCTCCGAACCAAAAATAATTGCTAAAGTAATGAACTCCGATCTATTGAATAGCAAGTATAATAAATTAAAAATTACAATTGATGAACGTTTTCCTAAGAATTCTGGTGACAGCATTTGTGATAGTAGTAAATCAAGTCATTCTAATACTTGTTTCAAAACTAAGTTGAAACTGCCACGTATCGAATTAAAAAAATTTGGAGGTAATTTAAATGAATGGATTCCATTCTGGAGCCAATTTAAAAGAATTCACGAAGATCCAAGTATTGAAAAAGAAGACAAATTCCAGTATCTTGTACAATCTACTATTTCAAAATCCCGAGCTCGACAGTTAGTAGAAAGTTACCCACCTAGCGCAGAAAATTACGATAAAGTCATTAACAGTTTAAAGGCACGGTTTGGAAAGGATGACTTATTAATAGAATTCTATGTCCGTGAATTGTTGAAATTAGTGCTAAGTAATTTAAAAGTTAAAACCAATCTTGTCACACTTTTTGATAGACTCGAATCGCAGCTTCAGTCGTTGGAGACGTTAGGAGTAACTTCAGAAAAATATGCTGCAATGTTATTCCCACTGGTGGAATCGTGCCTCCCAGAAAATCTTCTAAGAATATGGCAGAGAAGTCAAAACAATTCCGAATTACAATTAACTCCTATTTCGGAAAGTACGGACAATCGTTTGATAAAACTGATGACATTTTTGAAGAAAGAAGTTGAAGATGAAGAGAAAATTTGCCTGGCTACTTCTTGCTTTGATTTAAAATCTAAAAATGAAGTAAAACAAAATATCTCAATTCCGACAGCTTCTGGGCTGATTAATTATCAAAAGGTGCTCAAGTGTGTTTTCTGCAAAGGGTACTCATCTAAGTGACGATTGTATTGATGCTAACAAAATGAGCTTGATTGAGAAGAAAAATATATTGTCGAAAAAGGGACATTGTCATCTATGCTTAAAACATGGTCATATAGCTCGCCGATGTCGAGTTCGATTAGAATGTCAACAATGTAAAGGAAAACATGTCTCATTAATGTGTCCAAACCTATCGACAGGTGAAAAAATA